TTTTACTCATCAAAAGGGGAAAATTAGATCTTCAGGGGAAATTTTCTCTAAAGGGAAAAAGCACACAGATTAGTAGTAAATATGCCTTAGATTAATCCCTGAACTACATTATTTTTTTATTTTCCGAGAATTTCAAGTTTGTTCACAGTAAATAATATGCAGGGTAAAACTTTGATGGTTGATACTGAATATATGGATAAAAGTTCACTGATGTACTACTCTAACTGCACCAGTCCATTGATTTTTTCCCACATACATACATGTACATGTATATAAATATATTGAGGACATTTTAGGTTTTCACAATAAGATTGAGTTTACAAAACTAGAATCTTTTTGCTACATACTGATTAAGCAGCAGGTTTTGGTACATCCAGTTTTACCTTTGTGTAGGAGGAGAAGCTGGAGATGAGGATTCCTTTGATTTCTAAAAGAAAGAAGAGACATATGACTCACATATAGTTCCTACCATACATAACCTAACAGAGAGTGGGCTGTAACCAATACATAACCTAACAGAGAGTGGGCTGTAACCAATACATAACCTAACACAGAGTGGACTGTAACAAATACATAACCTAACACAGAGTGGACACTAACCAATACATAACCTAACAGAGAGTGGGCTGTAACCAATACATAACCTAACAGAGAGTGGACTGTAACCAATACATAACCTAACAGAGAGTGGGCTGTAACCAATACATAACCTAACAGAGAGTGGACTGTAACCCAATACATAACCTAACAGAGAGTGGACTGTAACCAATACATAACCTAACAGAGAGTGGACTGTAACCCAATACATAACCTAACAGAGAGTGGACACTAACCAATACATAACCTAACACAGAGTGGACTGTAACCAATACATAATCTAACAGAGAGTGGACTGTAACTAATACATAACCTAACAGAGAGTGGACTGTAACCAATACATAACCTAACAGAGAGTGGACTCAAACCAATACATAACCTAACATAGAGTGGACTCAAACCAATACATAACCTAACACAGAGTGGACACTAACCAATACATAACCTAACAGAGAGTGGATTGTAACCAATACATAACCTAACAGAGAGTGGACTCAAACCAATACATAACCTCACAGAGAGTGGACTGTAACCAATACATAACCTAACACAGAGTGGACTGTAACCAATACATAACCTAGAGAGTGGACTGTAACCAATACATAACCTAACACAGAGTGGACTGTAACCAATACATAACCTAACACAGAGTGGACTGTAACCAATACATAACCTAACAGAGAGTGGACACTAACCAATACATAACCTAACAGAGAATGGACTGTAACCAATATATAACCTCACAGAGAGTGGACAGTAACCAATACATAACCTAACACAGAGTGGACTGTAACCAATACATAACCTAACACAGAGTGGACTGTAACCAATACATAACCTAACAGAGAGTGGACTCAAACCAATACATAACCTAACAGAGAGTGAACTCAAACCAATACATAACCTAACACAGAGTGGACACTAACCAATACATAACCTAACAGAGAGTGGACTCAAACCAATACATAACCTCACAGAGAGTGGACTGTAACCAATACATAACCTACAGAGTGGACTGTAACCAATACATAACCTAGAGAGTGGACTGTAACCAATACATAACCTAACACAGAGTGGACTGTAACCAATACATAACCTAACACAGAGTGGACTGTAACCAATACATAACCTAACAGAGAGTGGACACTAACCAATACATAACCTAACAGAGAATGGACTGTAACCAATACATAACCTCACAGAGAGTGGACAGTAACCAATACATAACCTAACACAGAGTGGACTGTAACCAATACATAACCTAACACAGAGTGGACTGTAACCAATACATAACCTTACAGAGAGTGGGCTGTAACCAATACATAACCTAACACAGAGTGAACTGTAACCAATACATAACCTAACACAGAGTGGACTCTAAGTATCTAACCAACCCCTAGGTTTGCTATCCCTGTTCACTCGAGCTAAAGTTCTGGGGCCTATTTTACAAAGGAACTTTCGACTAAGACCAGCAACTTTTAAAAGTGGATTATAAAATTGTTCCTGATAAATGATTCTGTTTGAAATTGCATGCATATAAATCTTCCTATATTTCTTTGAAAAGATAAATAGTATTTTCAATATAATGTAAATTATAAAGTTAAAGACAGAATAAAATTTGGGTCTTGGCCATACATTCTTTTGTAAAACAGTTTTTTAGAGTTGAGACAGAACAGTGATTGCATGTTATATATGAGAAACAATCGGGTGTGGTATATGGTATATTCAGTACTGGGGCTTGATGCTTCAATGTTTACATTAAAATTTTGGTTGTAAAATTTTAAGGTTAAAAGAGAGATCTAAAAGTCAATTAGTTTTACCTTCTTGTATGCCCATTAAAAAAGTTTCATGATTATTTTACAGCTTTGTTGTTTATTTACATTTATTTTATTTTCCTGCCATTAACCGATGATTCAGTTATTTGACGCATCACTATATAGAAATTAATCAACAGCAAGCATCAGTATTGTCCATTGCTGCGTAAAGCCAGTGATGATCCCTATATATATATAGATTGGTTTTTGACTTTAAGTTGATGCCATGAAGATCTTTTATATAGTACTGATTTGATCTACTAAGCAACCTTGCTACAAATTGTTTTGTTTTGTATACCTGCTGTGTAGTTCTTGATGGAGAGGCTTCAGGAATGCTCATAAATACTGGCAGTGGAGCAGGAGCTGACACACTGGCAACAAACTTTGTAGTTGATGTATCTGAAAAAGGATTTTCAATATATATTTTGATTTACCATACCTTTAACTGTTTAACAAAGGGCCATTTCTTCATCAGCAGATTCCTTTACCTATCTATTCTCATGTAAATCTGTAGCCCCACCATATTCTATACAAATTCTCAAATGGAATATAAAATCAATCAGATAATCAATAAACCTATATTTCTTTCTAATTATGTTGAACTTTGATACCTCATAGTTGCCCCACCCTTCACCAGGGCATCATGATCCGAATAAACGTGAATCTACACTACCTGTGAATGCTTCATATCAATACGATTAATATTTGCTTTGTTTTTCTAAGGTACCGGTAGTTTTTAAAAAAGTTTTCCAACATATTTTTTGTAAAATTTTGATCCCCCATTGTTGCCCTATCTTACCCAAGGGTCCTGATTTGAAAAAATTCATATCTTTAGTGCCTGAGGATGCTCCATTCAATACACATCTCCATTTATATATTCTTGAGAAGAAGACTTTCAAAAACCTTTTTATACAAATTTTTATTATCAAATCTATCACCCTAACCTTAGGGGTCATGATTTAAACAAATTTAAATCTACACTAACTGAGGATGCTTTCATAATATGATTTGTCATGGTTTTGTTTTTCTTGAGAGGAAGATTTTTTCCTAGTACAGAATCCCATGTAAAATTTTGATCCCCCATTATGGCCTCACTTCAACCTGGGGGGTCATTAACAAATCTTGAACCGACACTATGTTTTGAATGTTTCATATAATAAGTTTCAACATTTCTGGCCCAATGGTTCTTGAGAAGAAGATTATTAAATAATGCCACCAAATTTCTAAATCATTCTGAATTTTATCCCCTTGCATTTGAATCCCTTTCACCCAAGAATGCTTTGTGGCAAGTTGGGTTGAAATTGGCCCTTAAGTTGGTTTTTGAGAAGATGTTGAGATTCAGTTGAATTAAAATTCTTTAAAGATCAATCATCTAGAGAATGTACATCAAATCCTGCAACTGAAGTATTTTTAGCTGAAATTGCACCAGATTGATTGGTACAATGAAACATACTGATTAAAACAAAAGATATTTGTGAAACACTTATCCTCCCACCTCCAAATAATTAGAATTTTTGGAATTTGGAAAGTCTTAAGAGCATAACTGTTAAAAATTACTCGATCATATCCAAAACAAAATTTGACTTAGATATTCTTATTCATTTCAGTATGCCCAACCTCTGCAAAGAAAATGAAATGAAAACGGCAAATAATTTGAATTTTTCTAAGTCCAAAGGGGGGGGGGGGCTTACTCTGTTAAACCTTGCTCGATCATATCCCAAACCGAATTTGACCTAAATATTTTTATAAATCTGTATACCAAATTAAATTTCAGTATGTGTTGCACATACATCTGAGAAGAAAATGAATTGAAACTGTTGGTGGACCAACAGATCTAGACAGAGATAGATCGACCGACCAATGACAGCAATAAAGCAAATTGCCCTCCTTTATTTGAAGGAGGCATAAAAATGTTTATTCATGCATTTCTCATTAATTTAGGGCACAAAAGTACAGTGACTTCCACTTAATCGGATAGCGGTTAAAAGTTTCCAAAATGGCGGCCATCGAAGAAGGAATGTAAACATATATGCTGATTAAAGATGGCAATAACTATTAAACAAGAGGCCCAAGGGCCTTATAGGTCACCTGAGTATTGTGTAACAACTTTCAAACATTTAACTTTGGTTCATGTTTTAAACCAGAGGCCATGAAATTTACAATTCACAATTTTGAAAGAGGCACCATTGCTTATCATAATTATAAACTTAGCATGCTTACTCTATTTACTTAATACCTAGAGAAAATGCACTTCCACTTTATAACCAGTTTTGCACCTCACCCCAAAGGAACCACTGACCCTGGGGCCACATATTTCAAAATTTTGCAAATTTTATCATAAAATGGTTGATTAATACCAAAGAGCAGATTTCAAAGCATTAATTTATTTTCAGACTATGAACCCCCCCCCCCCTGAACCAGGAGGGGAGGGGGGGCATAAAAAATAACCATTTTGCTAGATGTACCTTTCTTCATCATAAATATATATATATATATATACTTGGATCATTGGCATAAAACCAAGGAACAAAGGAAAAGATTTTCCAAGAATTAATGTGTTTTCACTATATAATCAATAGAGCCCCGCCCTAACACCAGAACCCCTGACCCTGAGGCCATAAAATTCAAAATTTTGGAAGAGACACTCTTGCTCGTCATAACTATACCCTCTGTTAGTTTATTTAATACCCAGAAGCAGAGAAGAAGATTTTCAAAGAAGAAATGCATTTTCACTATATAATCAAAAGAGCCCCGCCCTAACACCAGAACCCCTGACCCTGGGGCCATAAAATTCACAATTATGGTAGAGGCACTCTTGCTCATTATAACTATATACTTAGTTGATGCATTTAATACCCAGGAGCAGAGAAAAAGATTTTCAAAGAATTAATGCATTTTCACTATATAATCTATATAACCCCTCCCTATCACTAAAATCCCTGACCCTGGGGCCATAAAATTCACAATTTTTGAAGAGGCACTCTTGCTCATCATAACTATGTGCTTAGTTAGTTTATTTAATACCCAGAAGCGGAGAAGAAGATTTTCTAATAATAAATGCATTTTCACTATTTAATCAATAGAACTCCGCCCTAACACCAGAACCTCTGACCCTGGGGTCCTAAAATCACAATTTTGGAAGAGGCACTCTTGCTCATTATAACTATGCACTTAGTTCATTTATTTAATACCCAGAAGCAGAGAAGAAAATTTTCAAAGAATAAATGCATTTTCACTATATAATCAATAGAGCCCAGAGCTGTGGAAAACTGCCGGTCATGCCAGCAAGACCGGCAAAAAATGCCTGTGACTGGTAAAAATGCTATCGATGTCGGTCCAAATGACCGACCTCTTTCTTTGTCAAATGTTTTTGTTTTTCCATTTTGATTTAGGCCCATCATCGGCGCACTTCCCAGCTTTAATTATTGTATCTTATATACGATTGCGCAATACTTTTTCTTTACACGAGATCGAGGCTATAGGAAATGAAAGTGAAACCAGTATTGTCTTGCGTGATGTTTTAAATTTACAAATGGGACAGAATTAGGTAGAAAACATTAAAAAAAATAAAGACAGGCTAAATACCTGGGCATGTAAAACATTTCTACAGAAAAATTTCAAACACAGTTGGGTAAAGCGGTAAACCTAGTACTTCCGTCGTTTTTGTTTTTTTTTCATTGATTTCATGATGGTAGTATCGATGCACAGAATTTCGTAGGCTCCTTTTCGAGGTAAAATGCAATTCGCAAATGCATTAAAGTTTTCAAAAAATTACCTATACTAAGTCTATGCAGAATTATCATTGACGCCTGCCCAAAAGTGATGAAATCTAGTATTATAATAAATGCAAAAAACGAAAACGAAGGAGGACTTGGAAATTGAAACTGAATGTTATTATTAAGTAAAGTATAATTAAGAAAATAAATGTTAGGCTTTTCTTTTCAATTTTGCAACTTACTATTTCGGACAGGCAAAAATCACTTCGGACCGGCATATTTTGTCTTCTTGCCTGTCCGAATGACTGGCTATCTGAAAAAGTTTTCCACAGCTCTGAGAGCCCCGCCCTAACACCAGAACCCCTGACCATGGAGCCATAAATTTCAAAATTTTGGAAGAGGCACTCTTGCTCATCATAACTATGTACTTACATAGTTTATTTAATACCCAGGAGCAGAGAAGAAGATTTTTAAAGAAATAATGCATTTTCACTATATAATCTATATAGCACCGCCCTAGCACTAGAACCCCTGACCCTGGGGCCATGAATTTCACAATTTTGGTAGAGGACTCAAAGCTCAATACATTCATGCCACCAGTTTGCCTGCTTGATGTCCAAGAGTAAAGAAGAAGATTTTTAAAGATTGCAATAATCTTAGTGGTTTTGGCCCCACCCACCCCCAGGCCCCAAGGGGGCAGGGACCATGAAATTTACAATTTATGTTCCCCTTCAGTTCACCCATAGATGCTGTATACCAAATTTGGTTGAAATTGGTTTGGTGGTTTCAGAGAAGAAGTTGAAAATGTTCAAATGTTAACAAACGATGGACATGCAACGACGGACGAAAACGGATAGCAATAAGTCACCTGAGTTACTCAGGTGACCTAAAAACAATTTTTATAAGTAATTTTATTTGAAAAATGTTATCACATTTGATTGATAAGTAAGTTTAACATTTTATTTTAAGAGAATCACCTGGTAAAGTAATCAAACGAAAATGAAAGTGCAAGTTTGAAATTTGTATTGTCAATACATGTAGTACTTTACATCTTTGTTTGGACTCGAAATACAGCAATCGGCTATTTGAATATTCCGCTATTCTGATAACAGAAAGCTGACAATGTTACTATTGGAATAAGCGGGATCCACGGTACTTGAACTAGAATTGTCAAAAATGGTCTTTTGATCTTCCAAGAGATATGATAGATCAATTATTTGTACCTGTATTGGAAAGTTCTGCGCTCTCTTGCATTTTCTTGGCTAACTCAGCTTCCTCATTGGAGATTATTTCTGTTGATTCATCGGAAGATTCTTCCATCATTTTCAAAAGCTTTTTCTTCTCAGATCATATGACTGAAAAAAAAACACACCCCTAAGCCTAGAATATCAGCATTTTTGATTTTGGACAACAATAATGGAGAGATATATAGAACACATTGCTGTTTTGATCTGTGTTTTATCCCCTCACCAAGGCTTGGGGATGTAAAACACACAACTCGTTGGATAAAAATCATATCCAACTACAAATCATGTGAGATCCTATAAATATCATATGAATCAATAAACAAATTACACATTAAAAAAAATTAATGAAATGTTTCTTTTTTTTCCCTGGTACTGTCCAATCGAAATAGTTTAGAAATATTGTGGTGGAAGTAGGTTTTAAAACAATACCAATCAACAATACGCTTTGGTATTAGTTCAAGTGTCTATATGATGAAACAGAAAATATAAAATTTGAAGCCCAACCAAATCAAATCTTGGACGAACGGACCAGTTTACTTGTTAGTGCATCAGACCAATAAGATTTTCAACTGTTTTGTCCGATGGACCAGTGCTTTCAGATTACAAAGGTTTACATGACATACCATACACTGATACTACATCAAACAAAATGTACACTGGTGTGACACACTTTCTATTTAGTGTTGATATATAAGCCCAGTAATCGAAATCTTTTGCTAATATCCTTAAATAAAAGTTTATGACTTTATGTAGCCAGGTAGCAAACAAAAAACAAATCAAAATATAATTTCAAGAGAAATCCGGGGTGTTTTCCGCTTATGGTTTGATTTGGTAGCTAAATAAAGTTACCTCAGGTAGGTAAATAAAGCTATGTAGGTAAATTAACCTGTGTACCTAAATCTAGTGATTATACCAGACCTCACGGTGACTGAATTTGGGTACTTTAAGTTTAAGTTCAAGTACCACTTCGGGATAACGTTACTTAGATGTATTCTTTTATTATATTAGCAGAGATATAAATATTCGATCAACAATATATACCTTCGTGGTCCATTGGGTCAATATTATGACTTGTAGATAAAACAAATTCTGTAGACTGTCAGAGTCTCAGTAACAGTCTGGACACTCTGGGTCTGTATTGACTGTAACTTTTCAGGAAAAAGAGCACCAAAGACCCAGATTTTGACATCATTTCCTGGTTGAACAAGATGAAGCAGAGTAATAAATGGGTAGGCTTTACCTGATTGGCTGAATTGAGGTATGTAAATATTTTCATTTTAAAAGAAAAATATTAATGTTTGAAATAAATGATGGAATGTGGGAATATTACAAAAATTCTAGAAATACCAGGGGAGATTGTAGGAGTGGGGATTGATATTTTTGGCAGGGTGTCATTTACTGCCGATCTCTGTAAGTTCTAAATAACTGCAAATTTGACCTATAAACGCCGCGGAACGGTATATTTTTTTTCGTGTTTTTAATAAGTGCTTAGAACGAACTTTCAAATAATACCAGTGATTTGTTTGAACGGGAATTAGTAAATTACTTGGAGGGCAAAAGGTTTGTATAGAGTTCTATGGGAAATTAATTGGTACTCTTTTCCCTATAGAGACTCCATTTTTTTAATAAGTAAAGTGAAGTGAAAGTCATGAAAAGTTATTTTTAGCAATTTATTTGAATATTGAAGACATTTCGAGAGAAAAATTAGCAAAAATTTGAATTATTTATCTGTGGAATTAGGGTTAGAGGTGATTTTGGGTCTTTTGTAGACATTGGGGGGGGGGGGGGGGTTACAGAGGATGGAAATTGGTAAAACAATGTGTAGTTGACTTGGCCATAGGAGAAAGGTAAGTTAAGAAAATGTATCAGATTGATCTTATAATAAATGTTTGTATGTATTCATAAATTTATGTATGTATTTTACATGTACATGTAATTGTGTATTTATATGATTTGCTATATATGTGTACTTTTGGAAGTGTAGGATGGTGGCCTGGTGTTAATTTTTGTTTAGTTTCTTATACGTCTGCACGTTTGGTATCTTTTCGAATAATTTATTCGGCCCTTAAATGTGCGTTTCGTGGTGTTCATGTGAAAGGAGGTCATTTTCTGTCTTGACGTATCATGTCGGTAGTGTATGTGATCCTCTGGATTGCCTCCCTTTGACTGCGGGGGGATCAGTTTGTAGTTTGGTTGTTTCTATATTGTAGCTACACAAAGGTATGTGTTTTCCCTCTTTTTGCTCTTTGTAGTTCCATCAGGGTGACTCTCTGCAACTCATTTTCTACTGCTTTCCAGTTTTTGTACTTAGAGTTACTTCCCTTAGACTAGCTAACCAAATATGTAGAATTTCAACATGATATAATCTTAATTATTGTGACCATAGGCTTCTGATTTTGTTTTCTTGAATTATTGGAATGGCATTACTGCATGTATCACATTTGACTTTTCTAATATTTACATGTAATTACATGTAAAATTGTAAAACGTGTATTCCACCCTTGACGGATCCTTTTTTTAAACATTCGGCCATGTAGAAGATATGTAATTTGGTAATTTTTCAGAAAACTTGAAAAATATTGCTGTTTTCTTTATGATTTATGCTTAATTTGACTAACTTTATTGATTTATTTTCATTTAAAGACTATAGAGGACTTTCATATTTCAGCTTCCTGGACCCGGGAGAGCTTGGTATCTGATCGGCGGGGGGCATTTTCTCTATATGAGAAGAAGATGGAGACTCGCTACCCACCCGATATATTTTGTCGGACAGATTTCTGTACATTGCAGGTAAATTTTTCATTTATTAATTTTTCAGCCTCTTATTGTGGTGTACATTTTGGGGTTTTAAGTCAATTATTGCATTTCTTAATTTTTTACAAATTAATCTGAATTCCCCTTTTTAAAGCATGAAATTCAATAATGTAGATTATGGTTGTACTGTATAAGACTATCAGACACTGCACTTTGATTTGTTATCAAAAGTATTAATTTTCTCTTGTCTGAATTAATTGTAAACAAATATAATAGGGGGCACCTGCTATTTCTCTAAGTGTCTTTCACTGGGGGGTGGGGAAACTTTTTTGTATATACTTAAGCAACAGGAGGGGTTAGATAAGAATCATTTAGTATATCAGAGTCTAAATCAATTTACTTTTCATAAGCATAAGAAAATTTCTATATCAGTCTTTTTAAAACCTTTTAATTTTGCTTAATTAATTATGATTTATCAAATTTTGGACCTTTTTTCTTTATTCTGGGTAGATTCCACCCCTATGAAAAATTTGACACAATTATGACTTTATATCATTTTATTAACATCAAAAAACAAAATCATGTTATTTTATAAATATTTTATTCATTACAGTGACAACTGTATCCAGATTTCATCACAGGAATGAAAGTTTTTCACTCTTTGGAAAAGCACCTGCAGCAGGGAGGGGACATTCATTAAGATGGCCACAGATTCCAAGACACTGAAGTGACAGGCCTCAAATTTCATACATGTATATTGGTAAGTATAAGGTCTTTGAAAATTACAAAATTGACTAATTCTGGGATAGGTAAATATGTAAGTATAGGAAAAAGAGCACCAAAGACCCAGATTTTGACATCATTTCCTGGTTGAACAAGATGAAGCAGAGTAATAAATGGGTAGGCTTTACCTGATTGGCTGAATTGAGGTATGTAAATATTTTCATTTTAAAGTAAAAATATTAATGTTTGAAATAAATGATGGAATGTGGGAATATTACAAAAATTCTAGAAATACCAGGGGAGATTGTAGGAGTGGGGATTGATATTTTTGGCAGGGTGTCATTTACTGCCGATCTCTGTAAGTTCTAAATAACTGCAAATTTGACCTATAAACGCCGCGGAACGGTATATTTTTTTCGTGTTTTTAATAAGTGCTTAGAACGAACTTTCAAATAATACCAGTGATTTGTTTGAACGGGAATTAGTAAATTACTTGGAGGGCAAAAGGTTTGTATAGAGTTCTATGGGAAATTAATTGGTACTCTTTTCCCTATAATCAGCCACGTACAAATAAATATTTTGAAAACAACGATCCCGATGTTAAAAAAGAAGAAAAGGAGATGGGTATACTATTGAGTATTGTATGCTCCCGGTTTCATTTGCTTCTAGTTATTTTTTAAGAACCAGCCACTGCCTAGGCTAATGTAATAAGTGATGCATTGTTATATAGGGTGCTGTTTTGTTGTTGTTGTTTTTTTTTGGGGGGGGATGTTTCCCGTAAAAACGCAGTGGCGGATTCAGGGAGGTTTGGGGTGGGGGCTCAAGGATTCTTTTTTTACAAGTGTCATTTTTATCAACTTTTTGCCGGCATGGTTAAGACTCCAACAAACACGAATCCATTATTCTACCAGGGACCTATATACTAACTTAGTATATAGGTCCCTGATTCTACACAACTTAGTCCAAAATAACTGACGTTTTACTGGCTTTTTTCATGTTTTTACGATTTTGATATTTTAAATACCATGTTTACATGGCAGCTATAGTTAAGAAATAAGGTACCATTTTTAAACATCTATCGGAAAACGCTGAACTAGGACCTGGGGTCCCCCGCAAATAGTTCGTCATTTTGCGTAGTAATAAAACATTCTAGGAACTCTCCAGGCATTTAAGGCACAAAAGTAAATTCATGGATATCATCAATACGGAGACCTCAGGTCACCTTATATATTAATTGAATTTTATATGATAGACAATTTTCTTTGTCTTACTCCAAAATAATCATATCTATAACTTTATAAAGATCAACTTTCTAATATATATATTAGCAGAAACGTGACAATAATAAAGGGTGACCAGAGGTAACCTGATATTTTACATCAATAGCTAGGGGGACCAAAGATCACCTTACATTGTACATCAGTAGGGGGACCAGAGGCCACCTTATATTTAACATCATTAGGGAGACCAGTTGTCACCTTATATTGTACATCATCAGAGGGATCATAGGTCACCTTACATTTTAAATCAATAGGGGTCCAAAGGTAATCTTTTATTGCACATAATAGGGGGACCTGGGGATACCTTATATCGTACATCATTTGGGGGACCAGAGGTCACCCTATAATGTACATCAGTAGGGGGACCAGAGGTAACCTTATATTGTACATCAGAAGGAGGACCAGAGGACACATTATATTGTACATCAGTAGGGAGACCAGAGGACACCTTATATTGTGCATCAGTGGGGGGGGGGGAGAGGACACCTTATACTATACATCAGTAGGGGGACCAGTGGACACCTTATATTGTACATCAATATTTTACATTAGTACGGGGAATATTGGTCACCTAATATTGTACTGTACATCAGTAGAGAGACCAGAGGTCACCTTATATATTGTACATCAGTAGTAAAACCAGAAGTCATCGTATATTGTACATCAGCAGAAGGACTAGAGATCACTTTATATTGTACGGGGACTAGTTGTCACCTAATATTGTACTGTACATCTGTAGCGGGACCAGAGGACACCTTATATTTTACATCAGTAGTAGGACCAGAGGTCATCTTATATTGTACATCAGCAGAAGGACCTGAGGTCCTCTCTTGTATATCAGTAGGGGGACCAGAGGACACCTTATACTATACATCTGTAGGGGGACCAGAGGACACCTTATATTGTACATCAGTGGGGGAAAAGGGGTCACCTTTTATTGTACATCAGTAGGGGGACCAGAGGACACCTTATTTTGTACATCATTACGGGGACCAGATGTCACCCTGTATTTTACATAAATACGGGGGCTAGTTGTCACCTTATATTGTACTGTACATCAGTAGAGGGGCCAGAGGTCACCTTATATTGTACACCAATAAGGGAACCAGAGATCACCTTATATTGTACATCAGTAGGGAGGCCAGAGGACACCTTATATTGTACATCAGTAGGGGGACCAGAGGTCACCTTATATTGTACATCAGTAGGGAGAACCAGAGGTCACTTTATATTGTGCATAAGTAGGGGGGACCAGAGGTCACCTTAGATTATACATCAGAAGGATGACCAGAAGTTACATATGTACTTCAGCAGGGGTACCTTAGGTCACCTTTTATTGTACATCAGTAGGGGTACCAGAGGTCACCTTATGT